GCCTCTTGATCAATCAAGGACTACCTATAACGTGCTTGAAAATGAAATGGTTGTTGAAGCACATCCCTGAACATAATAACCGTGGCTCATAGATAAGCCCATGTGAACTTAGTGAAATTGTTCATCATGGTTTAGTCCAAACCGGGGATAAACAACATGACGATTGCTTTAGAAAGAAGCTTGAAGTTTATTGAAGAGGAGAGCCAGACAGAAAGATGGTTCTGGCAGAAAAGAAAGAGAGCACATGTAGGGAGTGGGTTTTTATACCCTCTGGAGCCTTTTGTTTGGAGTTGTTTCCTGTTCCTGTTTGAGGCTATTTCTTGTGTCATGTATTCTGACCTGAGTTTAGGTGTGCCCTTTGGCATCTGTCGGTTAATCCTATTATGTCCTGTCTTAGAGTTTGGGTGGGGTATGTAGATTTTAGGCGTCTCGGTCTTCCTAAGCTTCTAGCTTCAACCTTCCTGATGGTTTACATCTGCATTTCTATAGAGCTAGTTTCTGCTTGGGGAAGTGAGACTTGAGGCTAGTAAGAAAAACGACATGCTTTTCTGCCTCTTTAAGATCCTTTGAGGAAATATATTTTCCTGCCCTTTTAATATTTCCTTCTCTGGGGGGGACTGACTTCCCACAAAATAAAACTCTGCTCTAGTTATGAGAAAGTTCACCTGCTCAGAGTATAAACTGGTGATGAGCTGATGCTACAACATTCCCGAGACCTAGCTTTTGATCCTACTCCTCGCTCCGCACTTGGAGGCCTAAATTTTTTTGATCCCTTTTTTTTTTTTTTTTTTTCTTTTTTTTTTTAGGAAGGCAGCTGAAACCCAAGCAAAAGTTTTACAAATAAAGAACCACCCTAAGCCTCAACCACCAGCCCGGACTTCCCAGAGACTGGATATAGGATAAATTTAGATAGACAGAACATTAAAGTGATAAGCTGAGGGGATCTACATACAGAACTGAAGTGATCTAGCTGAGACATCAGCAGCAGAGAACGGGAAAGATGATAAAAGAGAGCCATTGCAGATTTTATAGACATGCAGGTATGAGGTAATCTCTTTCTGTGGAATGAAGGTCCTGGATGTTGTGCCTTCATAGAGAGAGAAGAAGGGCTTCATTTTCTCCTTGCACAACTGAGATCAAAGTTTCTGTTGCTAAGTGAGACATTTGTTAAGAGTTTTGCCCCATTTTACGACCTTCCTTGCCACCGTTGTTAAGTGAATCACTGCAGTTGTTAAGCTAGTTTCACGGTTGTTAAATGAACCTGGCTTCCCCATTGATTCTGCTCATCAGAAGGTCATAAATGGTGATCACAGGACCCTGGGACAGTGCAACCGTCATAAATACGAGTCAGTTGCCAAGCGTCTGAATTCTGATCACGTGACCTTGAGGAAGGCTGCAATGCGGCATCTGAAGAAGTGAATTTACCTCACCATCACTATTTTCTCTCGCTTTCCCAAGGGAGAGGTACAATTGGACCGGTGGTCCTCAACTTACGACCACAATTGAGCCTCAAAATTTCTGTCACTAAGTGAGACATTTTACGACATTTCTTGCCCCATTTGCTATGTCCATCACTGCAGTTGTTAAATTAGTAACACAAATGTTAAAGGAATCTAGCTTTGCTTGTCAGAAGGTCACAAAAGGGGATCGCATGATCCCGGGACCCTGCAACCGTCATAAATATGAGTCAGCTGCCAAGTGTCTGAATTTGGATCCCGTGAGCTGCTGTGTCGTTAAGTGTGACCTACGCTCAGAGCTCACTTTTTTCAAGTGCCGTTGTAACTTCGAACGGTCACTAGATCAATGGTTGCAAGTCGAGGACTGTCTGCATTAGATAGGTTCACTGCCTTGGGTCATTTGTAACAAATAAAGGTGGGGTGTAAATTAAATAAATAAATGTGCCCAAACAAAAGAGAAACAATTCTTTACATACTTAATTTAAAAAAAAAATGGAGTCCAATCCTGTGGTTCGTTTCCTCAGGATCCGCCATGGGTCATTTACCTTCAGGCAGTGTTCTCTTTCTGTTGACAGGTGCCTGCAGCCTACCTGAGGCAGCTTTGGGTCACCTGAGGCGTTCGTGCTTGAAGCAGATCCAGAAAATTCTCTTCTGCAGCCTCTGAAAACCACATGAAAAAACGCTTTTTTTGGTGCTTTTTTTTTCAGGAAGGAACTGGACTTTTTTGTGTTTTTCTTTTGAAGACGTTTCACTTCTCATCCAAGAAGCTTCTTCAGCTCTGACTAGACCAAGGGTAGGCAACCTTGGCTCTTTTATGACTCGTGGACTTCAACCCCCAGAATTCCTGAGCCAGCCATGCTGAGGGGAAAGGGAGAGGTTTCCAAGCTGAGCCATGCCGGCTCAGGAATTCTGGGAGTTGAAGTCCATGAGTCATAAAAGAGCTTACCCCTGGTCTAAAGTATGTTAACTTTAGTTCTAGGCCAAGGAGCTTCTTTAGCTCTCCGCTCTCCACTGTCTAGTCCAGGGGTAGGCAACCTTGGCTCTTTTATGACTCGTGGACTTCAACTCCCAGAATTCCTGAGCCAGCATGGCTGGTTCAGGAATTCTGGGAATTGAAGTCCACGAGTCATAAAAGAGCCAAGGTTGCCTACCCCTGGACTAGACAGTGGAGAGCGGAGAGCTAAAGAAGCTCCTTGGATGAGAAGTGAAATGTCTTCAAAGAGAAAAAAAAGTCCTGTTGCTTCTTGAAAAAAAGTACCTTTAGGACAATCATACCTGGATGACTGAGAATCTCCATAGACATACCCCATTCTCACACAATTTGGGGGGGGGCGCATCCAGACACAGCATGAGAGCGCAACCCTCGTGAATGACTTCCAAGGGAGTCCAGAGGCTGTGTGAGAACAACCCCCCCCCCATCCTCACACCATCTTTCCAGCCTCCAAAAATCATGTGAGAACGGGGTGTGCTTTCAAGAATAGCTGTTGTCGGCCGTTAGCGAATGTTGGCATCTTGGCATGTCAACTATGACACGCGTGTGTCATAGGTTCACCGTCCCTGTGCTGCTTTGGTATGATATAAATTTTAATAGGCCAGGAAGAAAGGCTTTTGAAAAACGGCTATGACATTTCTGCCATTTGGAAACGCTGACAAAAAGGATTCTGACACATTTCGACAATGTTGCTTAGAATGTTATATGGGTTTTTGTGGATTTTTTTGGAAGGGGGGGCAGAAACGGGGTGGCAATTATACAAGTCAATATTTCCAGCTAATGAATAAAAATAGCTGCCTGTTATTTTGCAGTAGCAATACAGTCTGGGATGTATGCCAAGACGAACAGCAAATATTGGGTTAAGTTTATGAGCAGAAGGAAAAGAAATGCACATAGGGAAATAACATTGTTAATTATGATATAAAATTATCATACGGTATGTGGTGAGAGTCCTGCGTAATGAATAACCAAGAAACAACTCCAGGTCTTACGACCATAGTTGAGCTATGTGTTGGTCAGAATGTTCTTGATGATTCCTTGATAAGGCTGTTGTTAAGCTCCCTTCGTAGCACTGATGGCATTACCTAGTTGGGTAATAAAACATCTGCAAAAAAATAACCAAGCTCAGAGAGATATTTAGAATTAGAATAACAGAGTTGGAAGGGATCTTTTAGGTCATTTAGTCCAACCCCCTACACCATTTCAGACAAATGGCTGTCTAGCCTCTTCTTAAAAACCTCCGGTGATGAAGCACCAACAATATCTGAAGGCAGTCTGTTCCATTGGTTGATAGTTCTCACTGTCAGAAAATTTTCTCCTTACTATATTTCCAGGTTGAATCTCTCCTTGATTAGTTTCCATCCGTTATTCCTTGACCTGCCTTCAGGTGCTTTGGAAAATAGGTTGACCCCCTCCTCTCTGTAACAGCCCCTCAAATATTGGAACACTGCTATCATGTCTTCCCTGGTCCTTCTCTTCACTAGCCATGCCCAGTTCCTGTAATCATTCTTCATATATTTTAGCCTCCAGTCCTCTGATCATCTTTGTTGCTCTTCTCTGTACTCTTTCTAGATTCTCAACATCTTTTTTATAGCGTGGAGACCAAAATTGATTGCAGTATTCTCGGTGTGGTCTTACTAAGGCTTTATAGAGTGGTATTAGTACCTCACGTGATCTTGATTGAATCCCTCTGTGAATGCAGTTTAGGATTGCCTTGGCTTTTTTGGCTGCCGCCGCACACTGTTGACTCATATTTAATTGATTGTCCGCTAAGATTCCAAGATCCCTCTCACAGTTGCTGCTATTAAACCTGGTTTCGCCCAATTTATATGTGTGCTTTTAGGTGCAGCTAGAGAGTAGATTTCAGTAAATCCTTAGGAGAAATATCTTGATGGTTCTCTTAATTTTGGAGGCAATTCTTTCAGATGTCTTGAAGCAGAAAATGAATGACAATGCGTGGGGAGGTTGAAGTGCTATTGGAGGCTGGACTAGGTAACCAAGTCTATGATTTCAAAATTCAGAGAAGTAATAGTACCACTTCTAAGTGTATGATTTTATAATTCTACAGGTAGTCCTCAACTTACAATTCATTTAGTGACCGTTTGAAGTTACAATGGCACTGAAAGAAATGATTTATGACCATTTTTCACACTTATGACCATTGCAGCGTCCCCATAGTTATGTGCTTTACATTTGGATGCTTGACAACTGGTTTACACTTACGACAGCTGCACTGGTCATTAGTGTGAAAAACAGTCATAAGTCACATTTTTAGTGCCATGGTAACTTTGAGCGGTCACTAAATGAACTGTCGTAAATCGAGGACCACCTGTACTAGAGCTATAGGTTAGACTACAGAATCCGAAAACAAAGAAGGCAATTAACTTAGACAATCCATATCTACTAATTTCAGAAGTGAGAATTTTGCTGTGATATTATTTCATCTTCTTCAAGCACGGATATTCCGAAGTTTACATTACACATATAACTAAATCCATATGAAATGATAAATCAATTTATTAAAAAGGGTTTTAAATTTTTTTTTTTTACAGAGTACGCTCGATTTGAGGCCAAAATCCATGATCTGCGCGAACAGATGATGAATCACAGCATGAGTTCCGGGTCAGGCTCCCTGCGAACCAATCAAAAGCGTTCCCTCTATGTCAGGTAGGCAAACCAAAGGCTGCCATTGGCCAGCGATACATGGTGGGAAGAAACCACATCCAAAATGGCACCTTGTCTTCTTAGATTCCTTTTGATGTTGCAGAAAGAACTGGAAAGGGCTGTTGTTTAAACAGGAAAAATAATTGAACAAACCAAGAAACGGCGACTTTCTTGAATTTCTTGAATCCCCTTCTTGAATTTTTACAGGTAGTCCTCAACTTATAGCCACAATTGAGCCCAAAAGTTCTGTTGCTGAGCAAGACAGCTGTTAACTGAGTTTTGCCCCATTTTATGACCTTTCATGCCACCGTTGTTAAGTGAATCCCTGCAGTTGTTCAGTTAGTAATGCGGTTGTTAAGTGAATTTGGCTTCCTCGCTGACTTTGCTTGTCGGGTTGCGAAAAGTGATCACGTGACTCAGGGACACTGCAACCGTCATAAATATGAGTCAGTTGCCAAGTGTCTGAATTTTGATCATGCAGTGGTTGTTTAAAAAATGGTCATAAGTCACTGTTTGTGAGTGCCGTTGTCACTTTGAATGGTCACTAAACAAATTGTTGTAAGTCGAGAACTACCTGTACTGCTAAGAGAAGTTTGGCAATACTCTAGAACAGTGGTTCTCAACCTGTGGGTCGGGACCCCATTTGGGGTCGAACGACCATTTCACGGGGGTCGCCAAACAATGCAATCCGCCATTTTTTTCCCCCTTTTCCTTAGCTGTGCTACTCCCTTTTATTCTATTGGCTTTTGAAAGCCAATAGAATAGACTCTCTTGAATAGAGTCTAATTCTATTGGCTTTCAAAAGCCAATAGGAATTGTCCAGGCTGTCTCTGCCCTGCTGAGCCCGCCAAAAGTCCCATTCTGCAAACGGTGCTGCACCAGTTGAGTAGTCCTCGACTTACGACCGGTTGAGTAGTCCTCGACTTATGACCGGTTGGGGGTCGCGGCATTAAAAAGGTTGAGAACCACTGCTCTAGAACCTACTATTAGCTCTTCATAATGGTTAGAGTGGCAGTCAAAAGAGAGATAAAGTGAGGCTCAAATCCATCCTGAGATAACCAGTATCTCTTTTTAATCCATCGATTTTTTTAAAAAATATTTTATTGATTTTTTATTATTACAAATCTTTAGTGCTCGGTAAACAACGTGTTGCCTGGGTCCACATATTTAACATTAATAATAATACAGCTTCCATTCCTACTCTTTACTCCGTTTTTCTAGCCATTTATAAAAATTATCCCATGTTTGAAAGTCTTCTGTATCTTGTTTCCCTTTCATTATCAATGCAAGCCTATCCATTTCCGCAGTCCAAAATTTTCTTAATTATATCTTCTTCAGTTAATCCACTGAATTTTTGTCTCTCACCATAGTCTGGTGATGAAATGTTTCACCTTGGTAAAAAAAAAAAAAAATGATTGGAGATGGAGGAGATATTTCAACCACCGGAAGGGGTGTCACAAAGATGAAGATCAAAATAACGCAAGACTTCATTACAGAATAATGCAGAATAATAGATCGGAATAGGATCGTGGTAGCTCATGAGGTTAGAACTCCAGTTTGAGATTAGCAAGCCCTTGTTTGAGACCTAAGTGCTGCTGCATGTCGGGGTGAGCTCCTGTCACTTGCTCCAGCTCCTTGCGGACACATGAAAGGAGCCTCCACGGATATCTCCTGGGCAATGGTGATGTCACCAGCTAATCTTTTCAACCCAGAAGCACCTTGAACAGTGCCTCCAACACGAATGGGACAGGGATATATCAGGAATTATAGTTGACAATGATGATTGCATAATTCAGATTTCAAAAAAAGAAATGAATGCCTTGAAGGAAAAATTGTGACTACATTTTAGGAAAAGTGGTTATTGCATTTCAGGAAAAAAAGTGTATTTTGGGAAGAAATGTCCAACTGCAGGAGACTCTGGGCTCTGTACAGAATGAAAACTTGAACAATGTAAAGAAACAAATAAAATGCATCCAGAAATGTCATCTAAAACAGAACCAACACATGCCAAACTCACACGTACAGAAGCTCACCCACTACAGGTAGTCCTTGACTTACGACGATTCGTTTAGCAACCATTCAGAGTTAGAATGGCACTGAAAATAGTGACTCACAACTGGTCCTCACACAACCATTACAACATCCATAGTCAAAAAATCAAAATTTACAACAGTTGTAGCAGGGGTCTTCAGACTGGGCAACTTTAAGACTTGTGGACTTCAGCTCCCTAGAATTCCTCAGCCAGCCCTGGCTGGCTGAAGAATTCTGGGAGTTGAAGTCCACAAGTCTTACAGTTGCCAAGTTTGAAGACCCCTGAGTTGTAGCATTATACGATCGTGCGATTGTTAATTGAGATCTTCTCAGCCAGCTACTGACAAGCACAGTCAATGCAAATGTCTATGAGATTCTCAATTATCCAAGTCATGGTTGTCCCAAAGGTGCTTTTTCAGGAGGCAACTGGACTTCCTTTTTTCTTTGAAGATGTTTTGCTTCTCATCCAAGAAGCTTCTTCAGCTCTGACTGGATGGTGGGGAATGGAAGGATTATATCCCTTGCAGGCAAAACCTACTTAACTACCACTTTCCCTCGCAATGTCCCAATTCTGATGGTAATTCGAGGACTACCTGTGCCCTGTCCCACCCTAACTACGTTTTCAGGGCTTTACAGAACTTCATCAGGGTAGAAACCATACAGATCTCTGGGGCAATATTATTCCAGCGAGTAGGCATTGTGACCGACAGAGCTTCTTGATAGATGACATTGTTTAATTGATGGAACCAGAAGCAGGCTGATTCTACTAGAACTTCCTAGCAGTAAAAGTGGAAGCAATTATCCAGAGAATTGGTGGACCCACTTTCTTTGGATGTGTTGAGCAGGAGCTAGGTAGCCATAATGCTTGTATCTGCACTCCCTTAACCGTGTAGGATGCTGAACTCAATGGCCTAAAATCTTGCCTTCTAGCTCTGTTTCTATAAATTAAAGAATCTTAATTTCCCTTGAGTGAAGAATGTGGTACAGCAAGATAGAAAAGAACATTTTCCCCTCCAGAGGCATAGTTCTAGAAAGCAGAATAACAGAGTTGGAAGGGATCTTGGAGGTCTTCTAGTCCAACCCTCTGCTTAGGCAGGAAACCCTATACCATTTCAGACAAATGATTGCCCAGTCTCTTCTTAAAAACCTCCAGTGTTGGAGCACCCACAACTTCTGGAGGCAAGTTGTTTCACTGATTAATTGTTCTCACTGTCAGGAAATTTCTCTTTAGTTCTAGGTTGCTTCTCTCCTTGATTAGTTTCCATCCATCGCTTCTTCTCCTGCCTTCTGGTACTTTGGAGAATAGGTTATGCCCTCTTCTTTATGGCAGCCCCTTAGATGTTTGGAATACTGCTTGGGAACGGATTATGATTTATGTAGATAGTCCATCTGCTGACAGCACTTGACCTTGCTAGATGGTGGAGGAGATGTTGGTGGATGATGGCCTTAAATCAACCAACAACCTGGAATTTACTTCTATTTGCTCCAACATCCCTATCTGAGATGCATTTGATCTATCTTGCTTTCTCCACATTTGTAGGACAAAGCAGGAACTCAATTCTACTCACCTTCTAGTTGACTGTTGTCCTTCTTCAACGCAACAGCTGAATTGTGTTGGAGTAATATGGATAATATACAAAGGGTCAAAGCATAATATCTTCTCTCTCTCTCTCTCTCTCTCTCTCTCTCTCCATCTATCCATTTATCTATCCATCCATCCAACCAACCATCCATATCTGTCTGTCTGTCTGTCTGTCTGTCTGTCTGTCTGTCTGTCTATCTATCTATCTATCTATCTATCTATCTATCTTTATCTCTATCTCTATCTATCTATCTATCTATCTATCTCTGTCTATTTATCTATCTATCATGTGCAGGCAAGAGCTTTCATGTTTGCTTTTTGGATTTTAAGGACTAAAAATAATATAAAAGCAAATGGATTCCCCTATGAATTTATTTTATTTACCCATTTGTTCACTTTCTTTAGTTGCCCATCTCAATCAATGACCCTCAGCAGCTTACAATTAAAAAAATATATACAACAATTGTAAAAACATTACAAAAGCAATACTAAAAATCAAAATAAATATACACAGCAGCTTAGCTAGTTAACAGTAAAAGCAGGAAACGGGGCCCTTAACACATTCAGGACGCCTGGCTCAAGAATGCAGCCAGGTTTTTTAAGACCTTATGAAAAGCCAACAGGCTTGGGGTCATTCTGATCTCCGAGGGGAGAACATTCCACAGAGCAGGGGCCACTGCAGAAAAGACCCACCTTCTAGTTCAGACATGTTAAACACAAGGCCCGGGGGCCGGATGCGGCCACAAAATGGTTTCATGTGGCCTGTGAAGCCATCCTGGAAACAGTGAGGGAACAGACCCCACTGCCGTGGCCCTGGCCCAGGCCAGCCGGGAGCCAATGTATAATTTTGTGGTGGCCATCTTGGCACTTGCCCCAGTGGACCATGCCTTGGCATTTGCCCCAGTCCCACCCCCTTCTGCCAGAGACCCTCAGATCTGTCCCGCTCCTGCCCAGGCCCCCACAGGCATCCTTGATGCGAATGATGTAGAACTGGCCACGCCCACCCAGTAGGCCGCACCCACTCTGGCCACACCTACCCGCCCCCCCCCAAGGGCAACCACAATACTGATGCGGCCCTCAGTGAAATTGAGTTTGACACCCCTGTTCTAGTTCCTACCAGCCAACACTTTGTTTGATGGGATCTGCAGCATGCCCAAGCACTTGAGAAAAGGCAGTCCCAAGGATAAAGACAGTGATTAGCTTCAGTGTGGTTTACACTTTGTACTCCTTGTATAAACAAGTTTCTGGATATAGAAACTTCTTTCTTTGAGCAAGAAGGAAGCTGTCCTTCCAAGCTCTTTGTTGATGTTGTTGTTCAGTCGCTAAGTCATGCCCAACTCTTCATGACCCCATAGGGGGTAGGCAACCTTGGCTCTTCTATGACTTGTGG